CTGATGCTTAATGTTAATTACACTCTGTTTTGTGTGTTAGCTCAGACTTATTATTAACTACCTCTTACAACTTAAATTAGCCCATTTCTATCATTCTATATTTTATTATGAGACTCATGACTTGTTATCTTACCTCCTCAGTGGCTGCTGGCATCACCAACTCTACCTTCTTTCTCCATCTATCTCTGTTTGGATTTCCTGCTTAGCTACATTCTGCTCTGCCGTAGGTCAAAGCAGCTTCCTTATTCACCAGTGGTAATAAAACGTATTCACAGCACACAGAAGGGCATCCCACATCATCTCTCCTTTTCTGTCTAATTACTAAGGAATGTTTGAACTTTAACACAGTAAAATTACATATAACAAAATGGTTATCAAGTCAGAATTAGAGTTACATAATTTAGTCTATTTATATTTAACAAAATTAAAGAAAGAATCATCTATTCTCTCTTTGGTAGTCTAAAATTTCATATCAAATTTATGGTTTACCATAACTGAGGAAAACTATAATTATAACTATCCAGTCTTCAACTCCAATATTGCAGATGTCCACTACTGGGTGGTGCCTGCATGATGTACAAAACCATAAGTAAACCCGACCCTACTCTTCTCTTGCTCAGTCAACCAGTCATAGGAAACAATGATAGCCCCATGAGGCTATCAGCATATGCGTGGCAACAGAAGGTATTGTAACAGGAGTAGAAACCATAGGCATTTGGGCAACTTCTTTTGTACCTTGATTGTGCCTTTGGGACCTGGTTGGGTCAGATCTCTTATATACCACTTCCATTTGATAACACACCGCTGTGAGCATGTCCTACTTTATGTCTAAGTGGGTCTGATAACACCTAACTCATGATGGACAGTTCAGGTTGCATGGTAAGGTGGTGGTCCATTGTCAAATGTTCAGCTTCTCCCAGTGGCTGGGATTAATGGCATGTGCTCACTTGCTTAGTCATATTTATTTTTGAAAATGATTCTATGGGCACCAGTGACAGGCACTTGAAATGGCTTAAGAGGAATTGTATTATCCTGATTCTCCAGTGCTACTTTTCTTACATGTTATTCAGTTTTCTTCTTTTCCTGTGTGTGTGTGTGTGTGTGTGTGTGTGTGTGTGTGTGTGTGTGTGTGGACTATGTTCACAGGCTTTAAAACTCACAGTGATCTTCCTGCCTCTGTGTAAAGGTTACTGGTAATAAAAGAATGCACAACCACACACAATTTGAAAAATAATATTTATGGTCTAAGTCTCCTCTTATGGTGGACAGGGAGCTGGTGAGATGGTGTCAGAGTCACTGATAACAGATAGTGGTGGACTTCTGTATGTACTAGGAATGGAAGTTGGATGCATTGAAAGAATCTTCAGTGCTCTTAACTGCTAAGGCATTTTTCCACCCTAACCTTTCTTTTCTTGATTAGGTTTCATGTAAAAGGCAGCCTAGTCAGGGAAAGACACCTGATGTTGATTAAAAAGTGAATTCTCCTTCATTGGAGAAAATTAGTCTCAGTATGGGTGATCTCCCTAATTGTTTATCCAATAAAATGTGGTCAACCAATTATCCATATATATACAACCAGCAAAATGGATGTAGCAGGTTGTATTCATGTTTTTTCTGTGTATGCATTCATCCATACTTAATAGGAAGAAGTTAGAAGGGATTTGTGAAGGGATGGAATGAAGAGATAAAAGGGGAAAGTGATACAATATTTCTGAATTAATTTATGGAAATAAATTTTAAATAAAATAGGGGCTAGAGAGATGGCTCAGCAATTAAGAGCAGTGGGTATTATTACAGATGACCCAGGTTTCATTTCCAGAACCCATATGGTAGCTAACCATTTGCTGTACCTCCAGCCCCAGACATCTCCTGCCTTCTTCTGACCTTTGCAGGAACTGTGCACAGACACATCCTGGCAAAACAGCATATGACTAAAATTTTTTTAAAAAGTTAGGAAAATGACAGAATGCAATTTTCTTCAGTGACATCCTAGTGCTGAGACAGACAGCAAGCCAGGGCTAGTTAAAATGAACTCCTTCTGGTCTTGCATGGAAGCAACTGTGTCCTTCTGCTGAGACAGTCTGCTGAGAGGAAGAAGCAGCTATGTTCTGAGATTAATAGATCTCATCATAACTGTTCATCTAAGAGCAGACTAGACACTGCAGTTAAGTGAATTTTCTGTTATTTATTTATTCATTTAATTTTTGGAGGCAGGGTTTCTCTGTGGACTTGGGGGCTGTCCTGGAACTACCTCTTGTATACCAGGCTGGCCTCGAACTCAAAGAGATCTGCATGCCTCTGCCTCCGGAGTGCTAGGATTAGAGGCATGTGCCACCAACACCCGGCGTGACTTTTTCTTGAAGTGTTCTGTGTTCGTATTCTCTGTCTTTTGTATCTGTGAGGATTGTGGCATTACTACAGTTAATCTCTTAGATCAGACATCAAGACTGACAGGCTCCAAAACAATCTACTTTTCACAGTGTCATTTACTAGATCTTCAGCTAAGAACTTGTGGTACAGGATGATCATGCCAGAGGCATACCTTCCCATCATTTTTATAATTTACATATGTTCCTGCATGACTTTGAGGTAAGAATGTACCTAAATGTCTCTTTTTTACATTGTGATCATGTTCCCAAGTGGATTTACTAACTGAGCATGCTTAGGAATAGCAGAATTTTACCCGAGCTTGTCCAGACTCCTAAGACAATCCTCGAGCTTCCTTTTACTCATTTGTCAACAATTTGCTCTGAATTTCAGCCTTCTGGTGGGAGAAAGACCTATCATCTCCCTTGTGATCTGGTTCTTGAATTTCCTCCTGGGTTGTCTGAAGTCCCTGTGACAACTAGGTAAAAAGTACTTTCGTTTACCCGACTTACCTCAGCGTGAAGTCACAGAACAAACATCTCCTTGAATCTCACTTGAATCGTTAATCCTTTGGGCACCCTCCCACTGCACCGGCTGTCCAGGCAGAAGAATGCTAAATGCCTAGGGAGGGCAGGAAGACAGCTGGTCTGTCATTGGAGCCCGGTCAAGAGCTATTGAAATGCGTAACTTCGTAGATTAGAAAAGGTCTTTTGGGTGGGAGGCAGGGCCAGGAACCACTGTTGCTCTTGTCACTCAGGCCTCACTAGCCAATCATGTCCTGCAGCTGAGCTGTCAGTCAGAAATATGCAGGTCCCTTCCTGTCGCTGACTTCCGGGTTGGCTTTGAAGAGAAGTTTAGCGCCTGTGTTTTGTGTGCTGTGCTGCCAGGAGCTCGGCGGAGACCATGGATGGTCCGGAAAACCACATGGTGAGCGAGGGTCTGCTTTTCCCAGATGGAGAGCAGCAGCAGATGATGAGTTACTGGAGCCAGCGTGGTGGATCCTCCCTGGATCTGGGTGGGAACCTGCAGCCAGACTCCCAGTCTTGTGAAGTCCCTTGCGGTCCGTGCAACTCCCTGGACCCAGCTGCAGGCTTCTGAGTAACTTCCCTTGTCGGCTGAATCTGCTCAGCCTTGGGGCCAGGGAGCTCTGTGTAGAAACAGCTTTCTAGTGAACTTCAACATACTTTTGGCGAATCCATGGAAAGCAGGTTGCCAAACCTGGAGAAGTCTAGTTTTCTAGAGGTTCAGCACTTTGCATTTAAACTTTACTTGTACGATCCATTTCTAGTTAATTTTGGGGAGGTTGTAAAAGGCATCTCATGTGTTGGGTAGCACTCTGCTACTCAGCTGTGATGTTGACGAGTAGAATGGGTGATTTAAAGGATTTACCAATGTAGAGGAAATAGTAAGTCACACAAAGTAGAATTAAACTGAGGGAGGACTGCCTCTAGAACATTCAAAAGTTAAGTGTATACTAACCTGGCTTTTTAGAGATTAGGATGCTAGGATACACGTTTGTTCACCTGGATTGTCCAGACATATGGCTCCAAACCGTTACTAAGAAGTGACCCGTGATTTACAACCAGCTCTAGACCCATCGCCATATTAAAGAATGGTCTCTAACAAGCAGCTCAAGGAGGGTTGGCAACCAATATTAAGTCCTGGTGTGCTGTAAAGGTTCAGTTCTCTTCTTGAGAAAAGCTAGTTCTGCCAGACGTGCAGTATGACACCAGGTGGCATGTGTATGGAATGTAAAACGCTGCTGTGTTAAGGACTTCCCTGATCAAGACAGGCTTGCATTCAGGCCCCTGTGCAGGGGAAGGACCATTCTTGGGAGAGATAATAACAGCCTGGAACCTAGGCACTGGGAGCTTTCCTTAAGGGCCTGGTGTACTAAGAATGAAACAGAGCTTCTTCTCCAGAACCAGGAATAGGCTTGAGAGAGCAGGCAATGGTCTGGGGCCAGTGCCTTTGTGGATGGGTTGCTTCAGATCCTGAGAACCCAACTCTTCCCACCACATGGAACTGTGGTTTTCAGTTCCAGGCCATGGTGGGCTTAGTCAGCAATGTTTTGAGATACCCTGTGTTCCTCTTGTGTAGCTTTGTTTGTTTAACCTCAGTCAGCGCACAGGTTGAGAAAGAGATCTATGTGTCTTTTACAGATATTAGCATCTAACATATGCATATGGGCGATATCAATTTATTTCCTATTAATGACATTCACTCTATTAGGGAAGTGCCTACTCTTTTTCAAAGTCAACATAATGAACATTTTCATTTAAAAAATACATTATTTTGGGCCAGACGTTGGTGGCTCATGTATTTAATCCCAGCACTTGGGAGGCAGAGGCAGTCGGATCTCTGTGAGTTCGAGGACAACCTGGTCTACAGAGTGAGTTCCAGGACAACCTCCAAAGCAATACAGAGAAACCCTGTCTCCAAAAACCAAAAGCCAAAAAGAATTTTTTTAAATCATTTTAAAATTCACTTATTGGCATTGTTTTAAAATGCATTGTTGATCTTATCTGTTTCTGTTCTCCTTGTTTCTAGGCCATTGATAGTTTCATTACTTTTCTCTCAAATGATGTCAATTATTGATTTCTGTGTAGAGCAATGTCTCCTATAGCTTATGGCTGCCTCAGGCTATGTAACTGGGAATTGCTTTGAAAACCCAGTCATGCCTCTGATGGGAAGTCCTGCAACTCCTTCCAGGATGGGCATTGACAGCTCATTGAGAAGGAAACATGGAGCAGTTAGTGAGTGTCTGCCAATGTCTCTGGCTTTTTGGGGGAACATACAAATGAAGAGGTAATGTCTGTCTTTGAAGCTGAGGTATGTTTCTTGTATGCAGCATAACAATGGATTCTGTCTTCATATTCATGCTGTTAGCCTGTGTCTTTTTATAGGTGAATTAAGACCATTGATATTAAGAGATACTTGTGACCATTGATTCTTGTTCATTTTTGGATTATTGTTACTGGTATTATTGTGTGAATATTTCCCTTTTTATTTATTTTTTTATTTATGTGGCTTTTGGTAATGTGGGATTGTTTATTGCCTATATTTCTGTGTGTGTAGCTAACTTCTTTGGGTTGGTGATTTCCTTCCAATACTTTCTGTACAGCTGGATTTGTGGATATGTATTGTTCAAATCTGGTTTTGTCATGGAATATCATTTTTTTTCTCCTCTATAGTGATTGAAAGGTTTGCAGGGTATAGTAGTCTGGGCTGGCATCCTTGGTCTCCTAGTATTTGTAGAACATCTATCCAGGACCTTTTGGTTTTCAGAGTTTGCATTTGAGAAGCCTGGTATAATTCTGATAGGCCTGCCTTCATATGTTTCTTGACCCTTTTCCTTTGCAGCTCTTAATGTTCTTTCTTTATGCTATATGATTGGTGCTTTGTTTGTTATGTGTCTAGGGGACTTTTTGTTTTGGTCCAGTCTATTTGGTGTTCGGTAAGCTTCTTGTGCAGGCATGTGCTTCTTTAGCTTGGAAAATTTTTTTCTATGAATTTATTGCATAAGTTTCTGCACTAGACATAGAGCAAAGGATTACCAGCCTAAAATCCATACCTCCAGAGAAACTAGGAAACGGGGAGTACCCTAAGAGAGATATACATGGTCCCCTGGAGAAGGGGAAAGGGACAAGTGCTTCTGAGCAAATTGGGAGCAAGGAGGAGGGGAGAGGTAAAGTAGGTAGGAAAAAGAGCCACCATATGTGGCTATGGTTATCAGTCCTAATGCCACCGTGGACTTAATAATATTCTTGACAAACCCTGCGTTCCTCTTATGCAGCATTGTTTCATTATCCTCCTCCTGAGTTTGTCCCATTGTAAGGTACTTTCTGCTAACCATTTCCACCATGTCCTCTCTGGAAGTAGTGTACAAGATACTATTCTTCTTAAGAAACCTACTTGGCATGAGACACAGATTATGCAAGACTGCCCAAGCCCAGCTTTTATCTTTTCTACTTTCTACTTGTCCTATCTTTCTCATGCCTGTGACCTTCACCCTGGATCCTGTCACTGAAGGTACTACTGTTTCACGTCACTGGTGCACTTTAAAAGTAATTCTGGGAATATCTTTGTTGTGTAAGTTTCTCCTCTGCCTAAGTGTCTAGACTTGCAGTCTCCTGTCACTACTTAAATTGTTCAAAGCGTGCCCTGGTGACTGAACCTAAAAGAAACCAGGATGGCAGCATATGTGGATGCAAATCTGTTCTAGGCTGGCTCCTCTTTGAGCATTAGCCAGAGGTGGATGATATCATTGAAGATATTTTTCTTTATTAATCTCTTAAGTGTGTGAAGTGATTTCTCCCTGGGAAGCCATATTATTTCAAGAACAGCTGCATCTCCAGCCTTTTAGAAAAATGTTTCTGAGACAAGCACTCTTATGTTGACACAAGTTACCTTGGTCCCAGTCCGTTGCTTTGCCAGGCAATGACCATACTGTTCTCTGTACTACACCTCCAAAATCTTAAATGATTGTACCGCCTCAGAGTATCAGAATTGTCCATTTGAGTCATGTAGTCTACTATCCATTGTAATCACAGGAAAAGGATTTGCATGTGGAGCAAGCGTAGTTCTGCCTTCAGAGCAGACTGGAAGGAATTGTTGTGTTCACTGCAGGGTGAAAGAAGGCAAGCAAACAGATGCTGGAGTACAATTATGAAAAAGACCTGACTGTAGCAGGGCTAATGATTTTGTAATTTCCCAGCCTGTACTAATTGATGTCTTGCAAATGAAGAAAGACCAGACTGGTTGATGTACAATTTGGAAAGTTCAACCTGCACCAAAGAATACTGAATATTCAATTAGGCAAAGCTCCTATGTAGATATGCTCAATCCTGCTTGATGGAGTTATGTCAGCTCAGAGGTTTGAGAAACAGACCATTGACTCTAACTCTGAGTGTCAGGCTACAGATGTCAGCATCAACAAGCGTGTATGAACAAAATCAGTCAGTCTCTTACTAACGACAGTCCCTCTACTAGAGAAGGCCTTCTCCTTTTCAAAGTCAATATACCTAGGTTTTTTAACTTAAAAAGACACTATTTTAGTCATTTGTAAATGTCACTTGTTTTTTTTTTAACATTTTCTTTAAGTTTTTTTCCCCTATTTCTTTATGTTCTCTAATGTTTCTAGGTCATTAATAGTTTCATTCCTTTCCTCTCAAGTCCTGTTTATTTATTTCTATTAAAGGCAATGCCTGCTGTGGCTTAGACTTGGCTCATGTTATGTAATTGAAAGTTGCTTTGAACACCTCCTCCTGCCTCTGCTGCCCAGTGCTGAGAAGACAGTCCTGCAACTCCTTCCAGACTGGGCCTTGAGAGCTCAGTGAGAAGGAAAATGGAGTAGTTAGTTAATGAGTGTCTGCCAGTGTCTCTGGCTTTTTGCGGGGACATGAAAATGAAGAGGGACCTGTGTAAGAATTGAATTCCCTGACTGTCAATGAAGCTGATGTAGTAACTAGCTCTGTTTTAATTATTAAGCTATTTCTATTAGCCTATGTATTTCCACGTGGTTTCTGCTTACCAGAGAATGTCGGGACCCGTTTCTCCTTTGGTGGCTATATTACATCTCTTTCCTGCCTCTCCCTGCCTTTCTTTCTCAGAATTTTCCTCATCTCCAAGTCCTGCCTATCTTTCTGCCTCTACTGGCCAAACAGTGTTTTATTCATCAACCAATAAGAGAAACATATATACAGAAGGACATCCCCCATGATCTCCTCTATTTTTGTCTAAATGAAAGGAAAAGTTTTAAATTTAACCTAGTATAAGTATATATACAAAACAGTTATCAAGCAAAAACTATAGTCAACAATATTTAGTCTGTTAATATTTGGCAAAATTAAAAAAATATTCTATCATCTATCCTATCTTTGTGAAACTAAAGTTTTAAATGTAACTTATCTTTTATCATAACTAAG